TCTCTTAATCAGCCGTGAGTTAGATTCCATAATGAGTAAGTAATCCATAAATACCTTTAACAACTATTTTTTTCTAAACTAGCATCATCAAAATCAATTTAAAGAAAAATCAGCATAAATTAAATTAGCATTTTAGACTTGATGAAATTAACATTTAAGACATATGAAATCTGTATATACAGATTCATCAATACTTGTTTTTAATGCAATTTGCCTTACCGTACACGTAAGTGCATTAATCTGTTCTTGAAAATACCATAAATAATTATTAATGCTTAAGATAGTTTAATATGTAAACTTTACAAAAAAGAGATTGATGAGTTTTCATATTATTTTAAAACTAATTAATTGGACAGCGGTCTCACAGATGTTGAAAATAATTGCCATAAAGAACTAGATAGCATTCAGTAAACGTAAGGAAGAGACAAAAAATATGCACATGTTTCTTGAAAAGAATAGGAATTAATACTAACAAAAGTTTAACCTAATTCGAATTTGTTAAAAATTTTTTCAATACATTTAATTTAATTTTTATGGCAATTAAATATATTAACAGAAATGATGTATATTATTTGAGTTGTTATAACAACGTAATTTAAAATTTTTAGAAGTAAATTTACTAAGTTCTTATAATGTAAATATTGTCCAGGTGCATATTTTAAGTGCAATTTTGTAGAGACATTAGGTAATTTGGAAGCAGGAAAGATGAAAAATGAGCAACCGCCTTCGCCGGGAATCGAACCGCGGACCTCTGGAATACACGCTCAGCGTGCAGACCACCACACCACGAAGGCATACCAAGAAGGCGGGAGAAATACCTTATAATTTCACTTTATAGGAAATACTTAAAACACGTTACTAGATTCTCAAAGTTTTTAAAATTTGAGTTCTTGCACAGTTTTTATTATGTTGCATAATCTCCTACTCACTTTCATTTATTATTCAAATTTTTAATCACGTAATGTTATGGCAATTTATACTTGTTATCTAAAATGGCAGGGAAAGTGGCAGTACGTCTGGTAATTTTTGTAACATTCGGTTGACAGCATATTCATAAAGTATCAAAATTTAGTTAATTTTGTAATAAATTTTATTTTTTTTCTTGAGCTATCGCTAATATGATCGTAAGCTGAATGCCAGTCGCCCTTTAACAAAGAAAGCCTACATTCATGTCCCGCATAACGCATGGATGTTTTTGATTTTCGTGAATAAATGGTGTAGCACTATGATCGCTCGTGAAAGTTTCCGAAATACTATCGGAAATTTGGTTTGTGGAGAGCATCTGTATGATTTAATGAGTTATGTTCGACAAGAGAAGAAGAGGAAGAATGACCTTGTTTGTTTAAATTAGCTATACACGAGTCACGTGATCTCTGAGGTCATCTACATTGTTTATTAGCTATATATAAGTGACGTGGTTGAGGTCATCGGAATGTATTTAATTAAGGTGAAGTACTCGAGGGCTATCCGCCAAGGGACAGAACCTTTTGTGGAGAACATTTTAAAGAAAACTGTCTCACGTTAAAGGAAAGTATCAACCGTACTCGAGTTACGCATGGGAAAAAAAACGGAAACACCGGATGCAGCTATCCCGTTTTCAAGGAACCGAGATCGTATCAAACTACCAGTATGCAAAGGTGTTAACTATTCAGCACTGAACGGCCTTGGGGAAGGGGATTACAAAACCATGAAGCACTGCTCCCTGAAAAGTCTTGGTACTAGATTGGGATAACGTTGAACAAAGAGATCATTCCACTGCCAATGGTTTCTTTGGTCCACTGATAGCGATTTGGTGCATCTGCTATGACCAATGGCATATTCACTAAATCATCAACAATTAGAATTGATGAAGGATACTGAATACAACAGCCGAACATTAAATTTTACTGCGGAAACTGCCTTGATAGATTTTAGCGTAACTGAATATTCTTAACTAAGTTTTCTTTGAAAAATACATACAGAATATTCCTACGTGAATTTCCTGAAAAAATTTCAGTTTCATGATTGTTTTTCTAACATTTTCCAGCATTAGGTTACTATTATTATAAGCAACAGGCTATTAAGTCAAGGAGGCAAATAATTCACGCATAATTCCAACACTTTTCATTGCCGACCATGTAAATTAAATTTTAATTTTCGTGTCTCTAGTTGATCTTAATTGCCTAAACATGTCAGCATAATTGCATGGTCATCGATGATACAATAATTACATTCTTGTACCTTCGATGATCTTTCGTACTCAGTTAATCTGATAAAGAATTGCAACAGTTTAGCAAACTAAACAGCAATGGCAAAATTCTTTAACATCTTTAAAGATATTTCAATATTTCGTTATCTTTTGGCGGCAAAAAAATTGTGCCAAATATCACAGAAATAGTCTCTTGCAACCCTTAAAAACCGGAACGGCCTAACGCCTGGAGAAAGAGTGAGAGAGAGGAAAAAAAAAAAAGGATCGGAAGAAACTGCCACATTTGAAATTCTAGCAGTTCACATCTGAATTTAATATGTCTCCCTGCCAGCCAAGCGGTAACGCCGGATCATTATTATATTATTTATCTGAACATCAATCAAAAATATAAGGGGGGTTATAAAAGGGGAAAGGGGAAAGAAGAAAAACTCTTTTAGCTACACTCAGCTGTTTTCTTGATGAGGCACCAACTAAACTTCAGAGAGTACTCTAAGTCATCGAGGAGAAGCAGATAAAGAAATGCGTTATATCGAGATGATATTTCGGAGTAAGGGAAGTTTAGAGGGGTGTCGTAGTTTACCGAGCAGCCACTGGTCACTTACAAAGTTGAGCTTCCTCCATATCCTCTTTTCTAAAATTCTATTCCATCACATTTTTCTCTTCAGGTTCTTTAACGGTTTCATCTATAATGAGGTACAATATATTTTTCCATCATTAATTCGTCTAGTTCTAGAACATAAAGTGTTGAAATCTAGAAAGGAAGAGAACTAAAGACAGAATACTCTTAAACTACATTTTATTAAACTAGGCTCCTAGCTAACAAAGATTTTATATATTAATAAAACTTATTAAGCTGACTGGACAAAAATAAATGCCTCAGATTAAAATCCACGGACCACTATAGTAATAGCTGAGGTTATGATTCTGTTTGGTCAAATTTCAAATCTTAGAATGCTATTTAGTTCCATATCCCTTTAAAGTCAGAGCATTTCTCTTCACCATATATTAAAACAAAGAATATCAGATTCAAAATTGCATAATGCATTGACCATTTCTTTTTTACATTTTATTAATTATTACAGAAAAACATACTTACTTCTGTCATTAATTCTATGAAGCACTTTAGAAAATCTTGTAGAGTTTCTTTTTGATTGCAGTCCGTTTTTCATTTTTTAAAAATATTTAAAGTCATAGATTTTCCACATATTCATTTGTCGAATATTTATCTGTAGCAGTTAACTTTGATATTTGTGGATACAGAATAAGGTAAATGGAAATAGTTCACTCTTATATAAATTATATAGAAATGTATATTTATTCCAAGTGGTCTGGGCATCACAATATCCTTTTTATCTCTAATTCTACAGCAAAACATTTCCAAAAACGTTAAAAAATATTTGCCGAAGAATTTGCAGAAAGTGTTATCGTGAAACGTTAGAGAAATTAAGCTGCATTTAATACTTTTCATAAAAATACTTGCTCTTGACAAGACGTATTCAATATTTATTCATTTATTAACAAAAAAATTTCAGTGAATTCTTTGAATTACTTTTTTTAAATGTAATTAGAAAATTTTAAGGTTATGTATTTCAACTATCAAACAGGATTAAAAATGAAATAGTTATATTATTTGTAGAATCATTAGGTTTATCGATGCAAAATAGATGAAAAATGTGCAATCCCCTCTCCTGGTTTCGAACACCGAACCTCCTGAGTGTTATCTAGTTACATCACGAAGGTACTAGAAAAGGATGGAAAACATACCTTACTATACATTCAAGAATGACTATTAAAAAGATAAAATACAGACTTTTCAGAAGCAATGCTTTCTCTTCTTGCTTATCTTATCTGGATAAAGCTATAACGAATCAAAACTGAAAAATGAACATTACAGATCTGTGGGCATCCATTGAGATGTTAACACTTTGCAAAACATTGAATATACGCCGGGGAAAATGGTGCACAATCGTCTCATAGCTTTTCCCTTCTGAGCGATGTATTAGAGAGCAGTTTCAGGGTCACTGTACATTTAAAACAACTCTTATGTTTTTTAGGCGTTAATCAATAATATTTCAATTCATCGCTGTGGTAATGCTGAAATATTATTTAAATTTGTGATTTCATTAAAATGATTAACATACTCTAAAACTTTAGCTAAAACTTAGCTGCCAGTTTCTCAAAAAATATTGTGAGTAATTTAAAGTTGCACACCTATCTTAGAAGGAAAGGGGAAAAAACTTGAATTTTTTTGTTTCCTACCTTTCCAAAAAAAGAGGAAAGTCAGAAAGTGTTTTGTATAAGAAAATTTTGTTAGTTATCTAAAGGGAAAATTTAACACATCGTAATGAAAATAGAAGGATAAAAAATTGGACTCTTCTTTTAAACTGAATTACGGAAAGTGATGTTCTATTCCATCATATAATTTATGCTTCGAGTATAGGTTTTATATCTTTTTCTTTATTTTAAAATAAAACCTGAGGTTGGATATTGAGAAAAATAGTTTCACTTGTTAAATTTCGATGCATAATTTTTATCTTTTACTGATTTAAGTTGAATAAATTAACCATAATTAAATCCAACTGTTGTTATCACAAGTGCGTGCGACAGAAGCTTGTGTTATAGAATATTATTTTCAAGATACAAAGTATCTGTTTTGCTTTAGGAAAGAAATTCTAAACAAACAATGTGCTAATGCATATATTGATGAATCTTGAATAATTTAAGTTCGAGTTCTAATGAGTTTTACTTTGTATGATACTTTACTATTCATAAAAACAGTTGGAGGAAGTTTGTGACTGAAAAAAAGACGATATTTTCATATTGTTTTAAAATTTATTCACCAATCAGCAGCATTTTAATGAACATCACATTACAAATAAGGTTTCATGTCCATCTACTTCAGCTTTCATCAGTGGCGCTGTTAATTAAATCTGAAAGATAAAAAGTAAAATCCTATTAGTGATCTTCAGAGGTTTTTAATAGAAAGAAATGAAAGAAAGAATCTTATGTAAAACAACATTTGAATTTTAAAAAGAACTTAAATCGGTAGAAAATGGTAAAGAAATAATTCGATCAGCCTGATTACCTTCTCTAAGATCAGTAAAAAATTCAAAATCAGACAAGTGTAGCTAGTAAACGACTGATTAAAATTAAAACCTCAAAGGTAAAAACCGCAGTTATCTGCTAATAAGACAATCAAACGTGTTCTATTTTCATCAAATCAAAAACACAGAATTCATTGCACAATTCTCAACCCTCCAAATCACTTAAAACAAAGGCGAAGAATACTTTTTTTTTACCTATCGTGTACATACTTGCCTTTTCGTTCATTAAATTTCTTCGCTTTAATGGCGACATCAAAGGAAAGTTTCAAGAGTAGCTCGACCTGTAGCACACAGATTGTCTGTTTCTTTTTAAACAGACTTTGTTGTGATTAATTTGCGATGATCACCTAGCGGTTGTAATCGTTACTGATGTGTGTCTGAAGGCTAACGAAGCATTCAACTGCCGATGATTGGAGGGGAATCTTTTGCAATCTAGACTGGCTCCTGATTTGCATTCATTACGTATTCACCCAAAACAACTCATTTACATAGAACGCTGGTTTGGGAAATTCGCTTGTATCAAAGCACAAAATTAGAAGATAAAAAAATATTCTTCCAGCGTAAGGAAAGTAACGAAAAAATTCGATCGCTACCCAAGGAGTAATGTTTTTTTAAGCATTGTTTTACTACTTTCTTTTAAGTTTGAGGGTTTGTGTCTAGTCTTATATCGCTCAAGAAGAAACGATGCTCTTTTAAAGAAGAAAAAAGCTGAAACTGTTCTGCATAATAGCCAAACCAATTTGGAATGTGTGTTTCCTTCAACATTCTATTGTGTGTTCCATATGCAAGTCAGTTTTCGGTAAAGAAAATATTCGAAATGCGAGTGTGATAGCTATATGACAAATAATGTTTAAAATAGATAAATAAAAATATTCAGTATTAAAATATGCCCCAATTATATTTTAAGATGTTTAGAATTTAAATGCACACATAATTTATATTTTTAAAAGACATTACTAAAAAGTAGCATATTAGTACTTCGTTTCTCAGAGAATTGCTGAAAATTTTATTTTTACTAAATGAGATCTTGAATAAGATAGCTAAAATTTTACACATACCTGGTATTTTGTTGCCTATTTTTGTAACACTATCTAAATATTCTATGGTTAGTTTTAATATCACAAATTACTAACAAATGTATAAAGAAACATATATATGCAACACATTTTTGTTACAGGAAAATATTTCGGGAATTTTGAATTCTCGGGAAATTTATGACATAGCTTGTCAATGTGGTTTTGAATGCAGTAAAGGAACTGTGTAGTTTTCAAATATTCATTACCAGTGAGCATGCGTTTTAAATAAAAAATGGAATGCTTTTTATAGGAACTTTAAAATGTAAAATGGAAACTAATAATGTTTTATAGTTATTCAGTGTTTAATACTGAATAACTCTTTCAGTTTTTCTAATTAAATATTAAAAATTAGAATTATATTGGGTTAAGGTATTATATTCTCTTGAAATGTTTTATGTTTTTTTTAAAACTGGGACCTTTTAGCCTTATTATTAAGACCTGAACACGGTTGTGCATTTTCTCACTTTAAATGTCATCTACTGTAAATGCGTTGTTTTGCTTTTCATTCGAATCTCTTGCCATTCGGCAAAATATAGGATATTTATCTTTCAAATTTAACTTGTGTGTTATTTTTTAACAAACTAGGCTATTTAAAAGCAAAGATCTTAATAATATTATTTTTTGTTCTTTAAACTGTTTGATTTAAATAAAAATGCATTTAATTCATGATATATATAATTAAAAACATTAGATATTTTCGCAGAATTATATTATGCATTTTTCACTTTTCAAACATGCAGAAAATATAAAACGGTCCCATATTAGTCTAAATGTACTATATTCATCTTATATCCTGTAAAATGTTTCGCTGTTCCACCTAGGTCATCTTTATTGATAATGTTTAGTGATAAATTATAATAAACTTTAAAAGTGCCTTTTTGGAACATCGCAGAGCAGGTTCAATTAAACTCTGAACCTGCCCTGCGATGCATTCTTCTCTGCTGTAATATAGGTTCACTTTTGCATGTTTATCCAGAAGAAAATCTTCTCCTCATAACTAAAAACCTGCTGTGGCAGATGTTCTTCAGAATCCACAAGCTTTTTCAATACCCCAATGGAGTTCTCGGTTGCCTTTATGTCTGAGCTTGCTACATCTCCGTGCTTCACAATGCTATAGATGTCGATTCTTCTCTAAAACTTTTAGAATCGCCCATGGTTTGCCGCCTTGAAAGCTCCTTCTTCGTCCGTTAATTATTCTCACCTTCTCACAAAAAGTATGTTTTCGTAGTGTTGCCTTGCGTTTGCTTCTCGTTGATCCGTATAAGAATCGATCTTTCAATAGAATACGCGGATTCGAGAATACGTGGCCGTTGTCTCCTGTCTTTCAGAATTTAAAAAAAAAATCACTGAGATCACTTGTAAGGATCTTAAGTTTTACTAACGTTTATTTTATTTTAAATCTTTACTATCACTTCTTATTTTCTACTTCCGGCCAGAATTAAAAGCTTTAACTTATTTACGCAAATTTGTCTTGCGAACGCCAAGTACTTAAGTTGTGGCTTTTTGCCAAGCAAGAGAGAGGAAGGAGCTATTAGAAGCAGGCCGCTTGCCATAGTAGTTTTACTCGGTTGCTGGTTGCCTTCAAGGCCAGAGGTTTAATCCTCTTGATAATTTTAAACGTATATCGTAGTGTTAGCATTCTCTGTACTACATACGGCTTCTTTTTTTAATAACGGCCAATCTTGGAGTAGGCACTTGTTTGATTTAATCCAAAGTTAAGTTTGTAGAGTTTAGTTTATATTTTTTATCTTCTTACGTTCAGACCACAAGTGGTTTGGTCTCTGTATTCCGAAGTCCGGAAACCATTGTAAAGAGAGAAAAATAAAGAGTTTCGCATACCCTTCCTGTGTGTATTGTCTACTTCCCAATTTTATTGAACATAGCTTTAGTAAGCTCCCTGTTCCGAGTCAGGACATTTAATGTTTCCAAAGCAAGTAAGGAGGAACACAGAACCTGATAGTGGCGCCCGACGAAGAAGAATAACCATGGCCGAGTTTCAAGAAGAACCTGTGCTGCCTGCAGAAGCGGCTCAGAATCCAGAAATGCCAGCTGCCGCCCTGGAAGGATTTGGTTACATCGTCCAGACCATGCGCGCATCGATGAAATCAGAAGCAACATTTAATGGAAACTCACCGGTAACCAGTTTTTTGGAAAAATTGGATGACCACTTCATGCTGTATCCAGTGCATGAGTTCCAGAAAGTCACCTTAGCTACCAGCACTTTGAGGGGCCAAGCGCTTAATTGGTTCAAATGTATAGGCAGAAGCCTCTTGGGTCAAGCGGGAAGTCCCACCTATACTTACGAAACTTTTAAGACTGCCTTAGTAAAAGCCTTCCCTGTCGTAAGAGATCATGCAAGATTAGAAACGGAACACTTCAGCATATACCAGAAACGAATTGAAAATCTTTCAAGCTTTATTTTAAGAAAAATTCACGTCTTCAGACTCTTGTATGGAAACCGTCCGGATCCTGAGATAATTCAAGTGATTTTGTCGAGGTTACTTCCCCAAGTACAAGACTTTATTGAATTAAGGAATCCGACTACACTGGAAAAGTTATTTGAGCTAGCAATCCAGTTTGAAAGTAGAAGAACAGCGGACATTGAAAGAAGACGCCAGTATGAGCACGAAGCCATTTGGTGCGCCAAGACCACAGCAAGTCAAGAACACGGCTACGGAAGCAAGCGAATCAGTGGGCAAGGAAAACCCGAGTATCCAAAAACAACCGGCGAACGTCGACAGTTCAATAGTAAGCCACAAAAAAAAGTCTGAAGACCAGTGAAAAAGAAGGAAGGCATGGAAAGGAAGAAACAAGATTTAAACTAAAAACGGATTTCTACTGACGGGAGGGTGCGGAAATCCGAAGGCTAAGAAAACCCCCCTCTTCTTCAAGTTAAATACAGTGATGGTGAAAAATTTGACTCTTCCAAAGATTGAAGTGTTGGTGAATAACATCCCAGCCACCGCACTCCTCCTGGATACAGCGCGCAGTGTTCCTGTGTGGCAGAAGATTTTTTTTAAGAAGTATTTCCGTAAATACCGCATATCATTTCGGATAATACGACAGTGTTAGCTGCGCAGGGAGAAAGATGCAAGTGCATAGGTAAATTACCATTGTACATTCGTATCAAGGACGAGCAAGTAAAGATTATGTTTTTTATCGTAAAGAATTTGCAAGCACATATCATCTTAGGAATAGATTTTCTTTCAGAGGCAGAAGCAACGCTGGATTTTAACGAAGCGTTCCTTAAGCTGACGATGAAACCAGTTCGAGAAGAAAAAACAGAACCACAAATGTTAAACCTTGACCACCTGCCTAAGGAAGAGCAACAAAAAATTCGACAAGTGGTAAGTGAATTTGCTTCGTTATTTAGTGATATTCCCAGATTTACTCAAGTTACTAACCATAGTATCAACACCGGAGATTCACTGCCAGTTCGCCACAAACCATACCGATATGATAAGAATAAAGAAAAAATTATAGAGTGGCACATTCGCGATATATTATGTAAAAAGATCATAACGCCTCTCTCAAGTAGTTATGCTAGCCCGGTTGTGTTATGTAAGAAAAATAATGACTATCCTGTAACACATCCAAAAAGGTGGCGTTTTGCAATTGACTATCGTAAATTAAACTCCATGACTAAATATCCGGTATATCCGTTACCTATTATCGAAGAAATTCTAAGGAACATAACTTCTACCAAATACATGACTACTTTAGACTTAACGACTGGGTTATTTTCAAATA